CACATTAAGGGCGTGGTGGATGTGGTAGGATTTAACAGGAAGTGGGCTGTGGGGGCAGAGGATAGATACCCTTTAAAAATACACTATATAGACTATACACAGTCTAAACACAATGAGCGAGGGTGTCAGTGATGTCATAACGAATGAGGGGTAATTTTTTGGCTGCTCTGAAAAAGATTTTCAGTGGGTCTCTACTGTCCAATTTGCTGGTGAGAGTTTGTCTCCTTCACCCAGTTTCTTAAGGGGCTTAAAATGTAAAACAACACACTGCACTTTTTCCCATTAAAGTCACATACGGTTTGGTATGATTTACAGGCCAGATGCTCCACCAATTCTACAGCATTACTATTTTCGCTCATTTATTTAACCAGGCAGTCTCTATGAGATCACTTTTTCAAGAGAGAAAACATTTAGTATCATCTAACATACAACCACAAAACCAGCATGCCAACCATGGCCACCGGAAATCCAATCTAAAGGCAGACATCCAACAATAAACCAACTAAAGCAATTATAAGTTTCAAGTAGTAATTAAAAAATCACATGATAAAGCTTTCAAATCTCCAAGGGGAATGAAGGAATGTAGCTCAAGAGATGTCTGCACTCCATTTGAAAGGTGCATAGTACCCAAATCCAGTCCTGCCAAGATAAGTGTGTACATACAGGATGCCTGAGATGTTATTGGAATATGTGCTGTTGTAGTAAGATATATTTGAGAGGAGAGTGTGAGGTGAGGTGGATTGGCTTCAGTGTGACTGGAAGTTCAGCACTGCTAATTGATTCCCTCAAATCACAAGTTTATTACACTGTATTGTCAATAAGAAAGCCCCTCCAATTTTGCCATACACTGAGCAATGAGGTTTGTGTTGTGAGTGTTTATTAGACATATTGACTAAGTTTGAAAAAAAAAAATTCAAAGTTCTCCCTCCTCCTTCAGGAAACTCTACTGGACAGATGGAGACACCATCAACATGGCAAACACAGACGGCGGCAACCGCAGTGTCCTGTTCACCAACCAAAAAGGCCCCGTCGGTGAGTGACATACAGTATACCTTTTTGCGTGAGAGACAGCGCACCCAAGTGACAGGGCAGGCCATTGCACATCATCTCTCACATGTTTTCCAGGTCTCTCCATTGACTTCGACACTGAGCAGCTGTACTGGATCAGCTCAGGAAACAGCACCATCAACCGCTGTAAATTGGACGGCTCTGGACTGGAAGTGCTTGAGGGCGTAAAGGGCAAGCTGACTAAGGCCACTGCTCTGGCCATCATGGGTAGGTCTCCAGAAAATGGTATTTTTAGCCAGTGATGTATGTAGCGAGAGTTCAATCCAGTGCCAGGTTTGGTTTTAATGGAGTGTGTTGAGCAGCCTGCTGTGTGTTGTATCCTTTTAGGCGAAAAGTTGTGGTGGGCGGACCAAGGAACTGACCAGATAGGAACCTGTGACAAGAAGGACGGTGGCAGCTGGAGAGTCCTGAGGAACAGCACGTCCCCGATGATGCACATGAAAATCTACAATGAAACTGTGCAGAAAGGTGCAGGGCTGGCTGCCACTCGCCAACTTTTTCTGAGCAACATGTTTAGGTTAAATGACTTAGCAAGAAAATACATAAATATAAGTAGAGAAAGAAAATATGTCCATGTCTCATTGAAGGTCTGTTTTTGCTTGCTCCATGTAGCCTGTTTATCTATGCCAAAGCACATCTGTTTATGTCTCTGTAACTCCTCTTTGATTTGTTTTGTGTATTTGTGCTCGTGCTTTCGTGTTCCCAGGCACCAATCTCTGCAGCAATAACAATGGAGACTGTTCCCAGCTGTGTCTCCCCACCTCCCCAACCACCAGAGCCTGCATGTGCACTGCAGGATACAGCCTGCGCACAGGGCAGCAGTCTTGTGAGGGTAAGACACATTTATACACATAATACATTCTTTATTCAGCCAAATTTAAATTCAGGAACTGATGAAAATGATAAATGTGTGACGCAACATACACTTTTTTTGCTGCAGGTGTTGGCTCTTTCCTGCTGTACTCTGTGCATGAAGGCATACGTGGTATTCCTTTGGATCCAGCAGACAAGTCTGATGCCCTGGTACCAGTGTCAGGCACATCCCTGGCTGTGGGCATAGATTTCCATGCTGGTGAGAAGTTTTATAACATGTTTTTTTTAATTAAAATGGCAGATAAGGAAGAGTTAGCCCAGCATGAAGGTATTTTGTCTCTTTGATGTAGCTGAAATAACAGCTTTTCTCCTGCTTTTAGTATGTGTTACTGTAAGGCAAGGCAAGTTTATTTGTATAGCACATTTCAGCAACAAGGCAATTCAAAGTGCTTTACATAAAACATAAAAGCAACATAGGGAAATATTAAAAAACACATAATACAATTTTCTAAAAAAGTCAAATAGAAAATAAAAACAATTTAATTTACCCAATAAACCTATTTGTTCACCCATAATTCTAATGGGTTACGAATAGTCAGCCTTTTCACCTTATATTTTTTGCAGTAAAAACTCGTACGATATTTCCCCTTATTCATGATTGTCACTGTGAGTAAGATTGCACTACTTTCTTGGTAAAAGCAGTCCAAACAGCTGAGAAAACTTAATTCTTCTTGGCTCTGTTAAACAGTCAAAACCGCAAAGAAAAAAAACGTTCAGCTCTACTCGGCCCTGCCCGGACGCCCTTTGTCACACTCTATACTAGAGATTCTACACGGCCCTGTTAATACTAGATCTGACTACTTATGAGAGGAGAAACCAATTGAGTTTAAACTGTATAAGGCGGATGGGAAATTTCTATTCAGTCTAACTATGTTTCATTCATTTTCACAGACAATGACACTATCTACTGGGTGGACATGGGCCTGAGCACCATTAGCAGGGCCAAGAGAGACCAGACCTGGAGAGAGGACGTGGTCACTAATGGCATCGGCAGGGTGGAGGGCATTGCTGTCGACTGGATAGCAGGTAAGACACACTTCAGACATAAAAAAAGTGTAGTTTATAAACTGTGTTTTACTTTTGCAGAATATCTATAATCCTTGCACAGACTGTCACTGTCTATAACCACACAGGAAGGAAGTCTCTCCACAGTAGGGGAACGGATTGTATTAACTGAGAAAACAGGAAGGAGATACACCTAGAAAAGAAGAGAAACAACAACAAAGAGACCTGAATAATTAATTTCTTAGGTCAATTAATGTAACTTTAAGTACCAAAAAAGGCAGGGCACATATCTGCATCACTATACATGCAGCACATGCACATGCTCAGATCTGCCAGAACCTCACAGTTTCCCACTCCGTCCTACACAGGAAACATCTACTGGACGGACCAAGGCTTTGATGTGATTGAGGTGGCTAGACTGAATGGCTCCTTCCGCTATGTGGTGATCTCCCAGGGCCTGGACAAGCCTCGTGCTATCACTGTCCACCCTGCGAAAGGGTGAGAGGAAACAACAATACTGGGCCTATCTCCAATTAATACTGCAGCTGTCTTTAGTTTCTGTAATTTATCTCTTTATAGATTACTGAGGAGGTTATGTCTGTGCTTTGCTGTGTTTGTGTGTGTGTGTGTAGCTACCTGTTCTGGACAGAGTGGGGCCAGTACCCCCGTATTGAACGGTCTCGCCTGGATGGCTCTCAGAGGGCTATCCTGGTCAATGCCAGTATCAGCTGGCCCAACGGCATCTCTGTTGACTATGAGGTGCAGTATAACCAACCATTCTGGCATTTATATCATAATGCTACAGGGTAGACAGTGGACATCACAGCATTATCTCAACCATTACTGTCTGGGCATGTGTAGGAGAGTCTGCTGTACTGGTGTGATGCCAGGACGGACAAGATTGAGCGCATCAACCTGGAGACTGGAGAGAACAGGGAAGTGGTGCTGGCCAGCAACAACATGGACATGTTCTCTGTGTCTGTGTTTGAGAGCTACATCTACTGGAGTGACAGGTCAGATATACCCCCATCAGTTTTACTTGTTCTCACTTTGGGATGATTTGTGAGGGATATTTGCCCACAGTTGTAATATTTTTCTCATCTGCAAGCTTCAAACACTATTTAATTTTTTTGTCTGCTTTGAACCAGGACGCATGCTAATGGCTCCATAAAGAGAGGCAGCAAGGACAATGCCACAGACTCTGTGTCGCTGAGGACGGGTATTGGGGTGCAGCTCAAAGACATCAAGGTTTTCAACAGGGCCAGGCAGCAAGGTTAGCATCGGTGTGTTTATTTTAAAACTGTAAAATGTCTGCTTTACATGCGAAAGCTGAGCATTGTTCAAGGTATTTGTATTTCTATTAAATAAATACTTAATTAACTACTTCATAAATGTCACATAACACATACATCTATCATGTTACAGTGCATTTATTTTGTGCAATTCCATTTTTAAATTAAAAAAATTGAATTGTAGATGATAATTATTTCATGGATTTCATGTCTGTGTACAGGAACAAACGTGTGCAAAGACAACAATGGCGGTTGTCAGCAGCTTTGCCTTTACCGTGGCAACGGACAGCGTACATGTGCCTGTGCCCACGGCATGCTGGCTGAAGACGGCAGCAGCTGCCGTGACTATGATGGCTACCTGCTCTACTCAGAGCGCACCATATTGAAGAGTGTCCACCTGTCAGACGAAAACAACCTGAATGCACCAATTAAACCATTCGAGGACCCCGAGCACATGAAGAATGTCATTGCACTCACTTTTGATTACAGAGGAGGTGGAGGAAAGGGCGCTAACCGTATCTTCTTCAGTGATATCCACTTCGGCAACATCCAGCAGATCAGTGATGATGGATCCGACCGCAAGACCGTGGTAGAGAGTAAGTATTCCTACATCTTTAGTTTGTCAGCCTTTTGGCCTCCAGACAGTTTATTTCCTGGTTTATCTACAGTGTACTGTCATAAGTCAAGAGTCACATCAGACTTCCTAGTGAGAAATCTTGGAGAGGAAAACAGCTGGAGTTCCCAAAAAAACACTCCTTCTGGTCTTACACAACCAGTAAGCTTTTATTCTGAATGTGTAGCGAAACTAGAAACAAAAATAGAAAGATTTTAATTATGTTTTCAGGTTGTCCATCCGTCAGTCTGTCCCATTATCATAAACGCAGTATCTCAGGAACACCTGGAATTTTGCACAATCATCCACTTGGACAGACGGATGAGCTGATTTGAGCTGAGGCTCATTGTGACCTCATGTCCATCCCCTTCTCAAGAATGTGAAATCTCAGGAACGCCTGAAAAGAATTTCTTCAAATTTGGCATAAAATCAAGGATGTGCTGATTAGAATTTGGTTGTCAAAGGTCAAGGTCCATGGTTCAAGAATTGATAACTATATTTTACAGTTGGATGGATAATGAATTGGTGACACTTTTAACTCAAAGGTGAAGATCACTGTGACCTCAAAATGACCTTACCAAACACGTTTTTTGTTTTTTGTAATTCTGACATTTCATACAGATGTTTAACAGGATACAACATAGAAGTGAGGACATGTTTTACCCAAAAGGTCCATGGTCAACTTTTTTAATCCATTATTTAACACCATAACTCAGGAGCAGAAGGGGAGATTGTGACCATACAGATAGACCTTCATTCACTTTATCTCAGCACAACAAAACACAGGTGCGCTGTTAATGTTTTACCAAAGTGCCTTTACTTCAAACTGTTTTACAAGGAATGCATGATTCAGGATTGTCCACTCTTCTTGTACAATATCCAGACAACCAGTTAATGTTAAGAAACAAATATGTTGAATTGTCTGTTGTTTTAAGTGCTGTCTGTTGCTTTGTTAAGTAGGTGATAGTTGTTGATAGTAATACTGTCAGGCAGCAGCCATAGCCACACTCCCACTGGCTCTTTGCCCTCCCCCCTTGAACAACCTCAGTAGGTCTTCTCTGAACTTTTGGGACATCAGCACATAGAGGATTGGGTTCATCACGGTAGAGGAGGCCGCCATTAGGCGTGCAAACACGCTGAAAGGGCCATAACGTGGCGAGGCGCCTATGGCCCCTGAGCTTTCATCTGCCAATAAGGCCAGCGTCAGGCCATAGGACGGCAGCCAACATAGGGTAAAAGCCAGCACTAACATGGCCGACGTCTGGGTCACTTTGCTCTGGTAGCGCTCTACTTGGGGGGCCCTGCCGTCATGCTGACTTGCCCACAGGAAAATGTAGATTCTGCTATACGCCACTGCAATGGTGACCAGTGGAAGCAAGAAAGCCACCAGGAAGTGGAACAATCCATAGATCAGCTGGTCGTGGTGGAACAGGAAAGCAAAGCAACCGAGGCCATCATCGGCTCGGCGCTGGGTTCCCACAAAGCGAAAAACCAGCTGAGGAGTAGCCAGGCAGCAGGCCGGGACCCAGAGGAGCACAGCAGCTATGGACACCCGGCGAGTGGAGAGGAGACAGTAGGCTCTGGCAGGCTGCACCACTGTCAAATAGCGAGAGACAGCCAGCGTGGCAAGTGTAAAGACGCTGGCCGAGGAGCAGGCCGATCCCATGAAGCCCACCAGACGACACATGACGTCCCCAAATGGCCATTGCTGCATGGCTATGGACACAGTGTGGAAGGGAAGCATGGAGAGCAAAAGCAGGTCTGCAGCGCTCAGACCCAGTAGCAGGACGTCTGTTCCTGTGCCTGTCATGGAGCTTTGATGAGACTGTCCAATACGTCCCAACCCCCTTCTCCGCCTTCTACATAGGATCACCATCACCATTGTGTGCCCGCCAACTCCCAGCATCAGAATCAGTGCATCTAAAATCGGGACTAGGACCTGCTCCACATTGCCCAACCCAGTGTGACTGCTGTTCCCCAGCAGATCCACTGAACGTGTAGAGTTCCACAGCAACATCCTGTCTTCAGTTATGGAGATGTCATCCGGTCATACTGCTACTGTTAAAACGCAGTTTGCTTTTGGTTAGGTCAAATATGCTCAAGCCGCCATAAAACTACTGATAATACATGTGGGAATGATTACTCATGCTGTGGGTGAATAGCAGTTTACTTAGAAATAACATCACACAGAGTTCTAATCATTTCCTATGGTTGATGGTACAATTTACCAACAAAAAAAGGCTAATAATGGATGTTAAATACATGAATAAATACATCTACACACATTACACATGACACCGCCTCCTAAAATTGTTTTTTAAAACACATTTAGAGACCTGTATGTGAATCAAGCCATTCCAGTCCTCGTAATCAGCCCCTCCTCTGATTGGATAGGTGTGGTAAAAGTGAGTGAAATAACATCAGACCCCTCCAGTGAAGTCAAGACACTCTGGGGTTTTCATCCCCTCCCCCTGGATTTTGTTAAGAGCACCCAAGTGCTAAATGCTGTAGATTGTGTGATTTCCTGTCACCTCAGAGCAGGTGGCTATTCCATGTGACATCTCAATCAGGCCCCTGTGCTCAGCAATCCACAATCAGCCGTACTCCTGCCTTCAAGGAATGGATCTCCTGAGAAACACAGTTCTAGCAGAGGAGGAAAAACGAGGCGAATAGCTCAAGAGTAAGAGAGGATGAAACCAAGTAAACGGCAGGTGAACTCTGGACTGATTATCATAGAGCAGGCGAGAGATGGGCTGGCCTGCTCGCTGTGGGAGGGCCCATTGAAGCCAAACAAAGTTTTTCCCAGGGTCCAGTGTTTCAGTAAATATTCTGAAAGGATTTGTAATTTTTTAGAATTGTTGTCCCTGCACACACATATACAGAACAAACAGATATGGTATATACACAGAGAGACCAAGTGAAATAGTGTTTGCCTTCAGAAATCAGGGTAATTATTGACTGCCTGCGTGATAGCAAGCGCTGAACTGCTATCACACCTACTGCAGATAACTGCAATAAAAATCTATCAGTGTCAGCATTACCAGCTGAGCTCAAGAGCTATAAATTCAGCTCATCTGTATTATTGTAAAAAACAAGCGAAAACTAACAGAAACCCAGATAGGCTTAGGTCAACAATGTGAAGATAAACAGAACTGAAAAGCAAGAATTTGGGTAGGGGTGCTGCAGGCTAGAGATTTACAATTCATTAACAGCACTAAAGAAAGAGGAAATAGGGGTGAATGGATTTCATGTTGGTCCTCATCGATTTTTAGGGCATTGATTTATGAGCACGAGAAGCAGAGGGGAGTTGTTTTTTTTGCCTTGGCATTCCTTTGCTCAGCTCTCCAGTTGCTTTGCTTCATTCACAGTCTCCTAGCATGAGCCAGACAAATGTTGATTCGTGCCCGCGCTGTAACACTGGAGATGTTGAGGTGTAGTGTTAAGTGTCCCACCTGGTGGTGAACCTCACTGATCCTCCGGCCCCAAGTTGTGACAGAGTGAGATCTTATCCAGCCCAGGAAAAGGCCGCTGTAATCATTAGGCCTGCAATGTTTCACTGCAATAATAGTAACAAGAAGGCAACTATTACCAGTTATTTGGCATTGGAGTGATCTGATGCGTGGCTGTTTTCAGATGTACTCTTCCTAAAGTAGCAGCTGTTCTCTATCTGCAGCTACAGAACTTTGTGTTCCTCCATCCTTGGCTGACTCTTGTCTGTCCTCTGGCCCCTGTGCAGGCAAGGAGCTCACAACCTCTTACTCATTTCAAGGCTGTGCGGCCGAAAAAATTACTTTTTACTCCTCATGTGTTGATGAGGTAGTGCGATGGAAAGTAATAGCTTGCCGGCAACTGTTATGGTGACCTTTTTAGTGAGCTATTTGTTGGATAAAAGCCTCAAATCACACTGTGTTCTTGGTCATTAATACCAAGCTGTCATGTCCGTAGCCCTGACTCTGTGCTGCCACATAGCAGTCTGCCAGTACTGAGCTGCTGCCAGACAGTCCACACTTGGCCTTTTAACATAGCACTGGGATTGACGTACTTGTTTTCCTTTCCCTCGTTTCTTTTCTGTGTTCTCCCCCTTTGTGGTTTAATGTCTGTCTGTTCTTTTTCTTTTCCCCTTTTTCTGCTCTTTTATGTATCCATCTTCCCTTCCCCCTCTTCTCTTGATTCCTTCATTCTTTTTTAGATGTCGGCTCGGTGGAGGGCTTGGCATACCACAGGGGGTGGGATATGTTGTACTGGACCAGCTACACCACCTCAACCATCACCCGCCACACTGTGGATCAGAACCGCTGGGGCGCTGTTGACAGGCACACTGTGGTCTCCATGTCAGGAGATGATCACCCCAGAGCCTTTGTCCTTGACGAGTGTCAGAGGTTAGAACTAATGCATTCGTTCATTCATTTCATGCGTTTTTGCATGTATTCCTAATTATGTTGGAAATTTCTGCACACTCACATTACTGATTCCTACTCTCTCCTGCAGCCTCATGTTTTGGACTAACTGGAATGAGCAGTCTCCCAGTATCATGCGTGCCACACTGACTGGCGCCAACGTCATTGTGATCATTGGCAATGACATCCGAACCCCTAACGGCCTGGCCATAGACCACCGCGCTGAAAAACTTTATTTCTCTGACGCCACACTTGACAAGATAGAGCGCTGCGAGTATGACGGAAGTCGTCGCTATGTGAGTGACATACACACTGGCATGCAGCCACTCACAGCACACGTCATGCCGCATAATGAAAATATTTGTCCTGCAGAATGATTGTATCATAGAGTTACCTAAAAACAGCCGTCAGTTTGTTTATCCTTCCAAGTTTGATGCAAGGCTGGAAGTGTATGACTGTGGTGGTGCTTCCCCCTACAGGTGGTGTTGAAGAATGAGCCAGTCCATCCATTTGGCCTGGCTGTGTACGGGGACTACATCTTCTGGACTGACTGGGTGAGGAGGGCTGTGCTTCGGGCTGACAAATACACAGGCGGAGACATGAAGCTGCTGCGTGCTGACATACCTCAGCAGCCAATGGGTATCGTCGCAGTGGCCAACGACACCAATAGCTGTGAGTTTTTGAGTGAGGGATCTACAGTAGGCTGTTTGTGTTTGTGTGTGTGTGTGTGTGTGTGTTGTGACATTACTGGTCTCTATAGTGCGACTTTGAGGGGAAGTATTTTTGAAGTACATAACATGTAGGACTGAGTGATAAAATCCTTAAACACGGTGCAACTTTTTATCCTGTATGAATGGATATTGCGATTTTTTATACATTACCTGGGAAATAAAGGATAAAATACAGGATAAAATACGTATACAAGAATGCCCATTTTTGGCTAATCCAGCAAATTAAATACATGTCGATGTAATTAAGGTATAACAAAATCTCTGGCATTTGGCAAATGTATGTCATCTTATAGTGCACTACAGTACAGCACATAGTTTCAAATTGTAAAATATATAAACACTTTTTTACATTTATGATAAGTTATGTACAACATGAGGTAATATCTTCAAATTTCATCGTTTCTTCCGATTATCGTTTCTTAGTGATTACATCAGGGTAGGGTTAATTTTGTCAGCCTTTTTAAAATTTAGCCTTAGTCTTAGTCTCAGTCCTGTGTCAAATGTCCTTGTTAGGCCGACTCTGATTCTTACTGCTGAATCATTAATAGCTGCAAGCATGTAGGTCTGGGGCTGACGTTGAAAGTATCAGGCATGTTTGTTTTATTATCATAATAATTATTATTATTATCAGATGTAGCCATTTTGCTACAATAACTCTTCTCAGCTGTGACTGTGTTCGCTACCTGACCTTTCTTTTCTCCGTGAGAGGGAAGAATTTAGAAAGTTGCGTGGCGCTGCGTGGAGCCCCCATGGCTCATGCGTAATATTCATCCAGCTAGAGGGAACGATCACGAACAGTTCACAACGTGTCGGTCGTGCTAGCGTCGCAACCCGTTCCGGAGAGGGAGTGGGGCGGACCAGAAACAGGAGATCGTGAAGCGACTGGCCCGATGAGTACTGTCAGGTGATAGTTCCCTCTGGCTGGATGAAGTCTGACGCTCCGCATGATCCATGATGATAGAGAAATATAGAGATTAATGGCAATAAAGCATGCTGTCAATATTTTAGAGACCCCCCAAAATATCACAAATCATGCTTTTATAGGAGAGCTCCCCCTGGCTCTCCTGTTCGCACCCTGAGCCACATTGCTTGCCGTCCCATATAATTAGGCGCTCTGTTTTTTTTGTCCACCTCACTGTATTTGAAATGGGACCAAATATCTAAGTGCCTCTTTCCCTTAGCATCTCTATAGCATCCTCCACCGTACAGTAGTGTTTTCCTCGCGCACCAGGCATCGCCCCGGTCGCCCAGCATTCAAAGTACAGGAAGAAAAAAATACTGCTGAATGAACACTGTTGAAGTGAAAATTTAGAGAGAGAAAATATGGCCTGTGATATTTGGTCTCCTCACTATACTGACAAATAGAAAGAGAGATTTTATTAATGTTTTTATTATATGAATTACATTTTAGTCTTGTCATTTTTCGCCAACAATATTGCACATTAATATAGTCACAGTTAGCGTTTAAGGACATTTTCACCGTCTCGTCTTCGTCTCATTTTAGTCAGGGAAAAAAAGGTTGTTGACAAATATATTTCGTTTAGTTTCGTCTGACGAAAGTAACACTACATCAGGGCAGTAAGGTCATTACACATCAAACTAATTAACAGAAAAGTTTTAATTTATTCTTTTGTGTTACACTCACAAACACAAAACACATGATCAAAGATGTTTTTCTGCTCCAACAGAGCCGTTAATAAGGTGACAGAAGTAATCTAAGAGTGACACTGGAGCTGATGCGCTACAGACACTACCACAATGAGCCCACCTGTCATTCACAACCCCAACATCAGCTCTATATTACCACAGACACACACACACACACACACACACACACACACACACAAGTGCCGGCTGAATTGCTGTTCTTCACCTTTATCCTTCTTCTCCACCACTTTCTCCAGCTCATCTTGTTCTCCGTCTCCTATTGTCTGTATCTTTTTAAATCAGTGCAGCCCTGCGTTTTTTTCTCTCTCTCTCCCATATTGTCGACCATCTTCTCCCTCGAGCTGCCTCATTTAGTAAACTCTCTTGCGCTCCAATACCCACAGCGACCATACAAGCCGAGAGCCTGTGGTAATAGCTGCAAATCCCATTTAGATTGAGTCACATTGAATTATGCATTCAGCGGAGGCAGAGCCATTGCCACGTTCATGCAGGCGTATCTGTCTGCTGATGTGGATGTGTGTGTTTAGTATTTGCTTGTGTGTCAGGAATGTGGATTAGAAATTCTTAGCGTGTGTGTGTGTGTGTCAATATGTGCAGGTTTGTGTGGTCAGCCTTCCCTAACTCTCCTCATCTCTGCATAGGTGAGTTCTCTCTGTGCCGCGTTAACAACGGAGGATGTCAGGACCTGTGTTTGCTGACCTCTGAGGGAAGGGTCAACTGCAGCTGCCGTGGCGACAGGAAGCTTTTGGAGGACAACACCTGCATAGGTAATACAAGGCAGGGAATCATACAAACTATCGCAGAGAGGTGAAAGTTATCTTCTGTACACAGTTTTATTAAAATATGTTAATAAATATTTAATATATATTTTTGAATGAGCAGTGAAAATGTTCCTGCATGCCTCGGGGTAAGCAACTCTTCCTAAGTGCATTTTTCTGTCTCGGT